TTTGGATTCCCTTTATTTCTTTTTATTCCCTAATTGCTCTGGCCAAAAATTCCAGTACTATGTTGAATAAGAGTGGTGAGAGTGGGCACCCTTGTCTTGTTCCTGTTCTTGGAGGGATGGCTTTCAGTTCTCCCCCATTGAGTATGATGTTGGCTGTGGGTTTGTCATTTATGGCCTTTATTATGCTGAGGTACTTTCCTTCTATATTGATTTTATTGAGAGTTTTTATCATAAATGGATGTCAGATCTTGTCAAATGCTTTCTCAGAGTCTTCTGAGATGATCATGTGGTTTTCATTCCTTATTTTGTTAATGTGGTGTATCGCACTGATTGATTTGTGGATGTTGAACTATCCCTGTGTCCCTGGTATAAATCCCACTTGATCATGGTGTATGATCTTTTTAATGCATTGCTGTATTTGGTTTGCCAATATTTTGTTGAGTATTTTTGCATCTATGTTCATCCATGATATTGGCCTGTACTTTCCTTCTTTGTGTTGTCCTTCTCTGGCTTTGGTAGCAATAAAGCATTTTTAAATTAAAGTATGTACATTGTTTTTTAAGACACAATGCTATTGAACTCTTAACAGACTACAGTATAGTGTAAACATAACTTTTATATTCACTGGGAAACCAAAAAATTCATGTGACTGACTTTATTGCAATATTCACTTTATTGCAGTGGTCTGGAACTGAACCCCCACTATCTCTGAGGTATGCCTGTATTCAGTCAGGTAAAAGTTGTAACTCTATCAGGGCTATTTCCCCCTCTCAATGAGCTTCCTACCTGCCCTTTCCCCTTGATCCTTGGGTAGCTGCAGGGAGAAGTTATGTATCGTAAGGTAGAAGGTGGGACCGCGGGCTCCCATGCTGTCCTCTGGGTCTAGACTTGACTTTGAAATAATGTGTTTGTTACCTTGGTGTCGTGCTGGTGTCACTGCTGAGGCCCTTTGTCCTAATTACAATCTCCTGTTTTGAGGGCCCTGTGTTCTGCCATTTCCCTGGCATCTTGGCCTGGGTACCCTCAGCAGCTTCTGCACCCAGTGGCAGCTTGTGGGCTGCCACCTGTCTCCTCCCTCAGCCATTGCCTCTCACTACCCAATATGTGGGTGTCTCCCTGGCCCCCCACTTTGGCATGGCTCTGGGCAGAATCCAACTCTTCTGAGTGTTTGCAGCCTCCCAGGCTCTGCCTAGTGAAGCGTGGCAAGGCCAGCCCTTGTCTCCAATTCCTCCCTGCCCCACTCTTCCCCACTGTACCCAAGGCAGATGCCAGCAGAGACTTTCCCCGTCTGCCCCTCACCCTGACCCTACCTTCCCTCTCTCTGTTACCACTTAGAGTAAAACTCTATACACCTCCAATCTGGCTCCTAAACATAGAGGGTAAATTTGGGATTTAGAATTTGATTTCTTCTCTTAATAAAGTTTGAATTTTAGGTCCATTATCTTGCTAGAGATTCTGAAGGTCAGTTTTGTGACTTCAAAGGTACACAATGATTTCATTCTAAGAGCAATGTGCCCTTAACCAGAGGCCCTTAATTCAGTGACTAGGCCACTGAATCAGTTTAATAATTAAAAATAGATGATCCCCTCCTCTCCTTAGTAAATTATTGCATCCCCTAACAAAATTCACTCACATAAGTGATCCCAAACTCATCCCCTACTAGGAAGTGGGATCTAGGTCTCTTTCCACAATTTCTCTCTTACTTCACCCCTTCTTACCTCTCCATTTTCCCCCTCCTCAAGTTTGACTAAACATGGATCTCGAGTAACAAGCTCTTTCCTCTCACCATTCATTCTCGCAGGAAGCTCTGCTCCTTTCAACAAGAGAAGGGAGGGTACTAATGTAATCCAAGTGTGTGTCCCCAGAGTGGCCATAAATCTAAGTGGGGCTTGCTTGGGCTGGGGAAAGAGATCAGCAGTTCTTAAGGTGACAAGAAGTTTCCTGTCTTGGGTCAAGGCATTCCTATCAACGCCGTCACTCTAGACATTGTCCAGCCTCTGGCATTGGCTGTCTGGCTGGAGAGGGAAACAGAACCACCTGGCCTAGTTGTCCCTGAGACCCGGTGTGGCTGCTCTCTGGACCTCTCAGGCTAGGTGTGGCACAGCATAAGCAGCTTTTTTTCTTGTTCTGGTCTTGAGCTGAAGTCAGGTCTCCTTGTCAAGGCAGTGTCTCCTGTATGTCCCAGAACCTCACACCTATACCCCAATGATCGGACACTGGTGGAACAGGCTTCCTCTTTCTGAAAGGAGGAACTGGAAATAGCTTCCCACTTCCCATCTTTCTTCCCTCTCTTGACTCTCCTGTTTCTGTGATTGCACACTTTTTTCACTTGGTTATAGCCCAGGTTTCAAGACAACTCTGGTATAGGGTCTTAAGATCAACAAGAGGCACAGATGTGTCGCATACAGAGTAGAAACAATCTTGCACAGGCCTTTTAAAAAGAATGTAACAATTAAAAAAAATTGACCCACATGATATACCCCTCTATGTAAAGTATTGAGGTTCCTTATAATAGAACACATTTAAAATTTTTAAATTGAGCAATTTCAGAACCTATTTGAAAATAAGAATGTTTAAAATCAATTCTTATTTAGGCCTCACATTGTTTTAAATGGCCCCCAGTACAGAGACAAGTGATTTAAGTCCATCCCCAGAGCTCCCCACAGACATATTTCTTGGTCCTGAGAGGGCGGGAATGCATGAGTTTCTTCAGTAACATTCATGTGCACAGGAAATGACTATTGACATAATCTTTAAGCCTAATAGTTAAGATTATTCTTCAGTTTATAATTTAAAAGCTTCTGACAGCTAAGTGCTATGGTATAATTTATAATGAAAGTATGAGTGATTGAGGCATATTTCACTGAGCTAGTTTCTCTTATGGGTTGAAACTAAGACTTGTGTAAACATAGGAAGGGAAGCCCTTCCCGGGTTTATGTAGTTAGGCAAGAATACTTAATGTCCCTCATTCCCAACTGTGCTGCAGTACCATCTGTGTCATACTCAAAGTTTATGGGAAGCAAATCTATAGGCTTTAAGGGGCATTTATTTTTTTTCAGTAAAAAAAATATCACATATAAGACCACCAACTACCAGTATACAGCAAAATAAAAGTAATTTTTTTGAGATATACTTTATAATATTCCCCTAGTGCTTTTAAAAATTTGGAATCTTAGCTTTTGTATATTTTTAATGTCACAATAACAACAAAAACAACTAAAAATCAAAACTGTGTACCATAAAGACAGCAATAGTACACTACTAGTTGTAAATCATCTGGGAGACTGTAGTTAGCAGATCCTTGAGCAATGATTAAAAAAAAAATTGTCTCTAGAGTAAGATGGAATCTGCCAGTGCTGAAGGAGCCAAAGTTCACAGCTTTTCAAATAAAACACATGATTGATATAATTTGCAATAACCTGTATATGATTGGGAAAGAGCATTTAGATTAAGCCATCCTCTCAAAATAAGATATCCAATATACAAATTTGGAGCAAAAGCCATCTGTTTGACTTATAATTTCTTCTCCCTGCCAGCTAAGAACAATATAATTTTATATAAAGCCAACAAGAACTGTCTTATAATGATGTCAAATACAATTCATGTGTTGATTTCTAAGAGAACCACGTTGATCACTGCAGAGATGTTTTGTCAATAGAGGCTTATTTCCTCAGAATGGCACTGTGATACACAGAGACCTAAAGAAAAGACTAAATAACGTGCTGGAAAATGTATGTAATATTACTTTTCCCCACTCAAAAAAAAAAAAAAAAAAAGAGAGAGAGAGAGAGCACGCTTATTAAAGCCTGAAAACTTTCTCTTTAATTGATAATAACTGGTTAGTTGCTTTCATGAATACAAAATGAGATCCTTTGAGAGAAAGAGAAAATATTGAATAATTTAACCTAAGAAGAAATTTCAACTAAAATAATTACTATGCATTGCAGTGAGGTCAATCAGCATTTATTTTCTTTTCAAACAGCTTCTTCTAAGTTTAAATAAAGTCTCCATGAACAGATAAGAAAACCATTGTTTAGGATATCTGTAACTCTGTAGATTAAAGTAGTTGGGTCAAAAAAGCCTCGTAAAAACGCAAAAGCACTCTTTTTATTATCAAGTACCATGTAGTAGGGATATCCCACCTTTACTCTGTCCCAAACACCACCCCCACTGTAGGACTTTTACTTTCCACTTCATTCCTTTTTGTTATTAAATTTACTTTTTTAAATGGTACACATACGTTTTTTAATACAGCTTTATTGATGTACAATTGACACAGAATAAACTTCACTATAAGTATTTTCATAATCAGAAAAAGAAACAACAAATACATATATATATTTTACTTGAATCTTGTTGGTAGGTCTCCTTCCATCTCCATATACGCAGGATTGGAACTGGCCATTTCTTTTTTTTTTTTTAAGATTGGTCCTAAGCTAACATCTGTTGCCAATCTTTCTTTTTTCTTCTTCTCCCCAAGGCCCCCCAGTACATAGCTGCATATTCTAGCTGTAGGTCTCTCTGGTTCTGCTATGTGGGACGTTGTCTCAGCATGGCCTGATGAGCGGTGCCATGTCCGTGCCCAGGATCCAAACCGGCGAAACCCTGGGTCGCCCAAGTGGAGCGAATGAACTTAACCACTCAGCCACAGGCCAGCCCCAACAACAAATATTTCTGAAGTCTGCTGGAACTGGCTACGCCTCTAAAAAGGCATTTCCTTATCCTCCCAAATTATCATTATAGGAGATTTTTAAATGTATGTCATATCACTGAGAGAGTGAGTGAATTGACAGAAATTTAACTGAGGATTTCCTTTGTAGATTACGGAAAAATGCTGTGATCCAAATATACCCTTTTCCCAGTCCTTTTATATACTCCATGAAGGACAGCATGGTGAAGAAACCAATGCCAAGTAGGTATCTATCTTCTGAAAAGATTTTCAAATGCACTTTCAGTTTTTGTTAAATATCCAGACACAGAGGCAAATTTAACAGACTAAATTAATTTTCAGATTAGTGCTTTATTTTATTTTAGTAAAACACCTTTTCCTGACCATGCACCACTAATTAAAACAGCATACTCCTTTGAACCTTTGGGTGAAAATATGCAATTTCTCCTTTAAGATTTTCCAACCTACCAAAAGCTGTTGGAATATTTAGCATTTTAATAAAATGTCATGAAAACATATGACAGAAATATACTTCTTTGGCATTAAAACATTTGTAACTGGACAAGAAGAAATAAAAAGTAATACTGTCAAAAGCAAAGTTTAACTAACTACTTAACAGGATGATTTAGAAAAGTCGATAATTCATTCAACAAAAATCATTTTTCCCCAATTAAACACTTTAAAAACTGTAGCCAAATAGATTATTAGCAAGAAAACCAATTTTCTTAAATTCTTGCTATCAAATTTAGTGTTTACAGTTCATTTTCAGGTAACTTTAAAAAAGTTCTGATTTAATTCCTTAAGGTAAAAGATTATTCTTGGCACTTTTTATGCCAATAACTTATAATAGCGAATGGCTGAATCCACATTTCAATTTACTTTTTATTCCTTTCAATGTTATATGAGTGGGGTAAATATATTCACCAATATTCAAATGTACAAACATTTGTGCTACATATTAATACATAGACAGCTCTTATTGTATGCCTTTTCTTTCAAAGAAATGCTTGGGTCACATTACAAGGAGTATATTCACATTAAAATAAAAATTACAAACTAGCCATCAGATATGAGCCAAAACATGGCCACGTTCGCTGAATCAACCGAATGACAGCGTTTGCCTTCAAACGGTCTTTTACTTCATTTCATTGCCAAAAGCTGGAAGAAGAGTGAGGTGAGGAGAAAATAAAATGGCAGTTCAACTGCTATACTAATTCAACCAAGTCCATTAATATACTTCCTATTTGCTAATTTTGGATCACATTCAGCAACTTTAAAACTGTGGATTATTGAGAAATAAATGAACTTTACAGTTGGAAACGGGAAGTAAAGATGGAGGAGAAAAACAAGAAAGGGAGATAAAGAATCTAAGTCAGCAAAGACATGACAAAAGAGACTGATGATTTCTTTTGCACCCTGTTGTTTTGAGATCCAGTGCGTTCCCTGAGAAACACCTCTGCTTCACGGCTAGAACCCCCAAGCTCCTGTTGAAAACTGAAACCAAGTGTGCACTCAGGCAGAACAGCTGCTCCCTGGGCACATGATGTGCAGGGTGGCGGGAGAGGCCCACGGCAGAGGGCCTTCCCTGATTGTAGGTTCAAATTAGGGCAGATTCAGGGGGGTCTGCTCTGGCCTAATGAATCTCAGGATGGCCGCTCTGTCCTCAGACTCGCTCAAGGTGCAGATCAGTGCCAGAATTCCCAAATCAGAGGACTGCCCCCATTTCATAATGGCTAAGAAGGTAGATTGTGAACAGCAATTGACAAGGGGAGAGGAGCCTGGCCAGAGCTGCGACTATGAGGCTCACAAGGGCTTCACTCAAGGGCCCGGAGAGGCCTGAACATGCCACTCTCTCTCTGGTGGCTGCAGCTGCACCTGCTCACCTAGTCCACGACCTGAAAGAGAGTGGGGTGAATATGGAGTGACCAGGGAGGACGCCCCCAGCTCCTGTTCACACTGGACTGTAGGGATTCCCAATGCCTTCCACAACTTAGAAACATAGTAAGATATTTAACAATCCTCTAGGAAGGTGGCCAAGCCCTGGTTTATGAAGCAAACCATTTCTAACACTCCAAACCAGTTTTCTAAGAGGGAAAATTAACTAGTTATAGAAGTTACTGCATCATCACATTACTTCAACAGTCTTTTCACACATATTCAGTTAAAACTGAATAAATGATCTCACCTCTTCCAAGTGAAATGGCTTCCTAGACCAACTTTAAGCACAGACTGGTTTTCACAAAAACGAAATACTGGTGTATTACAAACACAGCTTTTATTTTTTTAAACTAGGCAGACTGAATTGATAGATATTAGCTTTCCAGTTTGTAACGGATACACTACAGAAAATGTGTGTATTCTCTGAATATATACACAATTGTTTGCTTTTGTGTGTCTTTCCCTTTTTTCCCGATAGTTTCTTCTGCACTATATAGTAGTGACTGTCTCTCACACTGAGTAGATGAGCTGGGTGTTTTATGCAAGACTGATTATTTCATTCCACATTTGTTTAGATTAGACAAGTAAATCTAAACACCCAACTATGGATTCATATGTAAACTTTCAGAAATGACGTTTGTTATGTCTGATGCAATAAATATAGAATGATTTCATACTATTTAAAAACAATAGACACTACTTTTTACCAGCGCCATCAGGGGAGAGCCTAAGGCTGTGAATCTGTTGGAGTATTGCCATGATTTGCTTTTTCTCCAGAGACAGAATGCTTCAGAAACTGACCAGTAGCACCAATGTATAATCTTGATCGCATGGGCCATTTCTGAAAAAGAATATTTAAACAAGAATCCAAAAGTTAGTATCTATGACAGATATAATCTGAAGTAATAATATTAAAAATTCCAAATACCTCAATGCAAATGCAATATTATGTAGCTAGTAACAACTGTAATTATGGGGCCTAAGGAACATGAAAAAATGCTTATTAATGCTAACAATAAAAGTAAAAATATACCCAGACTTTGATTATAATTGTATAAAATAATATGTGTGCATGTGAACAAGAACTGCAAGAAATCATGGAGAACGAATATAGTTAACAGTAGGAAAATATATCTACCCGTAACGTTTTAACTTCAAACTAAACCCAACACAAAATTAAGCCTAAAACAAGATCCCTGGCTTTAAAGATATTATGAAAAGGTATACACGGTAAGTATTATGTGTCTACACTTGTCAAAGAACTACAATGAAGAGTGACTAATTCAACTATCCAAACATTTTATCTAGCTAAAAGCAGTATCTGAAAGTTTCAAATGTTAGAATGTTTGGTGTTATATAGATAGAACATCCAGATTAAATGTCTGGATGTATTGGCATCACACAGCTCTAACCTTTCACTAATCATCATATTTATATTCTGATTGTGACTTTTCTAAATTCATCTTTATAATACACAACCTCTCAAACAATATAATTTATTGCCAAATAGGCATGACGACGAAAAAATGTACTACATATATAGTACTTTCAGAATGAACATTTTTTGGGGGGAGGGGGAGCATATAATCAATTTAGTTCTAATTTCCTTGGAATACTAATCGGAGAATTGCTCCTTTTTGTTTATACAAAGGTAAGTCTTCAGACTAAGTGCAACTCTCAAAGGTCAGCAATGGGGTTCCCCACACTCTTCAGAGAGCAAATGCTGCTGTGAGCAGCAGGCTATCTCATCAGCAAACACTCACAGGCAGACTGCTGCTTACACAGCACCACGGAATGTTCTTAAATGCATGGCAGATAACTTGCAGTGTTCAAAAAGAGGTACAATTACTAACAATCCAAAGACCATGAGAGTTCTGGGTTCTCAGCCCAAGCTGCATATTAGAATCACACCAAGAGTTTTAAAAAATACTGATGGCCAAGTCATATTCCAGACCAATTAAATCAGAATGGACCTCTTTTTCAGAAGTGGTTAGAGCATAAGGTAGTCAGATCTTACCTGGAGTAATATAAGCCTTCACTGTACTTCCCAATACAGTTACTGTCACCCAAACTGGTTTTCCAGGGGTAAAACGTAGCCATAAGGAACAGAAGTAGGCATGTGATATTATCTGGAAAGTTTCTGTTCTTAGCAACCAACAAAAATCCAACATTTATGCCTCCAGATGTGATAAGTAAATTTGCTTTCATGCAACATAGGTCATTTAAGAGTCCTAAATTCAGATCATTCTGCTGGGAATCTACACTTTAAACATAGATAAAATATAAAATTTGTGTTTAAAATGATCCACTCCTATATAACTTTCTTATAAATAACTTTGTATTTTACGTGTGATACAGTAATAAGACTGACACTTATTTTTGCAAATCTATTTCATGGTTTTTTTTTTTTTTACTTTCTTTTGCTTGTTTGTTTTTTGAGGAAGATTAGCCCTGAGCTAACACCTGCTTCCAATCCTCCTCTTTTTGCTGAGGAAGACTGACCCTGAGCTAACATCCATGCCCATCTTCTTCTATTCTCTATTTGGGACGCTTGCCACAGCATGGCTTGACGAGCAGTGGTAAGCCTGCATCCGGGATCCGAACTGGTGAACCATGGGCCGCCGAAGTGGAACATGCAAACTTAACCGCTGGGCCACTGGGCTGGCCTCATTTTTTTTTTTTTAAATCACCGATGTGCATTCTTATGCATTCTGGGTGTATTACTGTAACTGGTCCTGTTCTTGGGATCCCTGCCATGGACTGGTAACCTAAAGTGTTTTAGAAACTAGCATGGGGTTCTTCCAACATGTCAGGACCTGCATCGGTAGATCAGGTTTAAATCCTGCACTATATTGAAGAATCCAGTGCCATAATGCTACGGTATGAAGTGAATGTTTGTGTCCCCCCAAAAGTGCTATATTGATATTCTCACCCTCAATGTGATGGTATTTGGGGAGGTAATTAGGGCTTGATGAGGTCATTAGGGTGGGTCCCTCATGATAGGATTAGTGGCCTTTTAAGAAGAGGAAGAGAGCGCTCCTCTTTTTTGAGAAAGAGACATCGGCCAACTGCAAGACAGGAAGAAGACAGCTCTCACCAGGGATGAACTGGCAGGCACCTTGATCTTGGACTTTCCAGCCTCCAGAACAATGAGACAATAAATTTCTGTTGCTTAAGCCACCGAGTCTGTGGTATTTTTTTACTGTAGCCTGAGAAGACTAATATGTGTAGTGAATAGTGTGGTCAATTTCAAGTGCAGAATTTTTGGCAGAGTATAAAACAGTGTTTTTCAATCTTTTAAACTCCTGCACCATTTTCATGAGCATTAAAAAATCTCATGCTCAAACTTCAAATGTAATTTGAGAATTCTATGTGAATTAAATACATCTAAAAACAAGTAGAACCAAAATACTACTGAATGCTTCCTTGTAGTTCTGACACGTGCTACCTGGGTTCCACTGTATTGAGAATCACTTGAAATTATGCAGCCAAGCATAGAGACAAATGAAGGCATCTGTTCCTTAAATCCTTGCTAGTAGACAAGTAATTAATGAAGCAAACTTAAAAATGTCTATGTGGATTTTTGCCTCATGTTTCATGGACTTAATAAAATTTTCCTTTTTAATAACTTTGTACCCTTGGATTTTCAAAAAGGCTTCTAATGATTTTATTCAACTGAATTTAATATAGACACATAAATAGTTTTAAGAGTCAGAAATAAAAATGTAAATAAAATACTGGTTAGGTTGCATGTCAGCATCATTCCAAAAAGGCCAGCTGACTGTTTTACATTTCAGTTTTCAATGGTCTGTTTTAGCATTGTGTACATTAACACAATTCTGACCTCTACTTTACTAAAAAGGTATATTTAAAATTATGTAGTTTCATTAGGCTTAGAACAGTCTAGGAAGCATATCATTAACAAGAACTGAAGACCTTAAAAATGCACTCTTGGTTTTTGGAGTCGACCCCCAAAATAATAAAATCTTGTATTTATTTTTAAAACTATTGTTTACCTATATTATCAACGATTCTCAAAGGGTTATGCAATTAATAAAGTCATCTGTACTTTTCTCCCAATGTAAGAATTTGAAATATACCCCTGTTCTCTTGGAGAATCACTGCCCTTTGGGACACTGGTGCTGATCAGAATCATTCACATCTCAAAGGGATAAAAACTGCTGTTTTAGACTATGCCTCAGGATCCCAGGCTCTTAAACCTTTCCGTTTCATTTGAGATACTCTTAATGTAAATCCCCAACAATGCTAAATGCCCAATGCTGATAACAAGGACCAATGATTCAAAATCATGTTCTTCAGATATTGGTTAATGGATCCTTGATCATCAAAGTAAGACTTAGTAACACTTTATTGTAAGGCAGAAAAAGTCATTTTGGAACACTTTTTAACTAAGGGTTACAACACCTTTAGTTAACAAAAAAATCAGAATATTTTTATTCCTTTTGCATTAATCAAAGATAGACTTAATATTTAAGCATTTTGGTAGTGTCTGTAAAATAATGTGTTACAGGTGATTTCAATCAAGTATATAAAATCTTTTTCCTCTGAGCCTCCACTGCGCCTGGTTATAAGCTATCCGATGGCACATACAACATTCTCCCTTAAGTTCTGTTATTTGTATTTTTGTCTTTGTCTTTATTATGTGTTCATTTATGGCAGAGATTGAGCCTTATCCTTCATCATATTCACTCTCCTAACACTGCTTTGTACACAGTAAGTACTCAGTAAATGATTTTAAAACAGAAAAGTCACTTGTTCAACCACCATCAATTTCATGTTTAACAGGTAATCTTTGACTTTATTTCATTATCCCTAGAGTTGTCTTTTAAAATCAAAATAATTGATTCAGAGGACAAATGAGATTTAATTTTTCTTAAAAGAGTTCTAAGACTACAAAAATATTTAGTATGTGAATCAAGTGCAAAACAACTCTTGTTAAGCTTATTGTTACATGAAAATTATGGTTCTAAAATTATCCTTCAAAAAAGCACTGCAGAAACTAACGTGAAAAACAACTTGATTCCTCATCTGAATTGTATCTTCCATAAAGAGGCATTTAACAGATGCTTTTTGTATTAAAGTCTACCTAAAGTTAAAACAAATGTTCTTAGAGTATATGAGAAATGTGAATCAAAAGGAATCTAATATTAATAATATATTTGAATAACAATCTAATGTACACTATAATATAAAACCCCTTAAATTTTGTTAAACCTCATCACAGAATTTTAAGTTCAGTTAATATTAGAGGGTGTGCTTTACTGCATTTCAATATGATTATTCAATAATTTATTGAACATGGATATATTTAAGGCTGTCCTAATTCTGTATTTGTGTATGTGTGGCAAAATTCTTCAGAACGGTGGAACTAAAACTTTGAAAATTTAGGTTTAGAAAATATAAGGAAGACGATGCGTTTTGAACAGAAAGCCAGACCAATGTCGGATTTCAAAGCAATTAAATCTAGGAGAAAAGGACGATGCAGAGTCTAAATACTGCAATACAGGTAATAAATCATAATCATACACAAAATATTAAATGAAAACCCTGATCATTCTACCTACACGTAATGTAAAAAGATTATACAAAATGGATTATTCTCTTGGTTAATAACATTACCGAATTTGAAATATAGTATTTAATCAGCTCACTCAACATATATGCCAAGCTATTATGAAAATTACATAAACACATTGTAGTTTTTCTAACATTCTTGGTAGCTGTCTAGTCCACGATAATTAACCTTTATTTAAAAGGATTGAAAATTTACTCAATGGAGATACAGAACGGTCTCATTTCGTTCTTACTAGTTTCACAAAAAAACTTTCAGCAGTGGTTTCCTAGCATTACTTAGGGGCAGATAATCCCATCACTGCATTTAATTCTTGAGACTTTTCAAACATCTGCTAAAAACCACAACGGAAGCATAATTACGTAAATTAAAAACACTTAAAAACTCTCAAAGGCTCATAAATGTAACTCTGTACTAAAAATTCCCAGGACGTGCAACGAAGCATCGCACCAGGCACCCTCCCAGAAACTTCTCACCTAGGAAGGGCATCCTTTGGCTGCCTCCTATAGGTGGCGTGAGACACCCCTACCCAAGCCACCCCAGGTTTAACCTCACTCCCTGCGAACAGTTAAGCAGCAGCTTTTTGCACTGGGAACCTGGCTACCGGTGCCCTGGCCAAGCTCCTTCTTCAGATGTTTCCCGCCTCACCCCCAGGGAGTGCAGGGGTGAGAACTTGGTGGCATCGGAGCAAGCGGTGGCAGATCGGGCGGGTCAAGGTGCCCTGCTCCCGGCCACAGATCCGCAGTGCGCCCTACCGCCTACCTTAACAGGGTGCAGGTAGCCGTCGCCGCGCAGGGCGCCAAGCCCGGAGTCGGCAGGAGCCTCGGCGTCGTCCTGCAGGCTGCGGGTGAGGTGCGCGATGTAGGTGGTGGCCAGCAGCAGCACGTCCAGCTTGGACAGCTTGGTGTCGGGCGGCACCGACGGCAGCGTGCGCTGCAGCTCCAGGAAGGCGTGCCGCAGGGTCTGCACGCGGCTGCGCTCCCGCGCCGCGTTCGCTGCCGCCGGCCGCCCGCCCCCCGCGCGAGCACCGCCGCCGGGGCCCGCCGGCCCCGGCCCGGTCCGCCCCGGGCTGGAGTCGCAGGTGGCGGCAGCCGGGGGCGAGGACTCGTTGCTGGCGACCAGGGGGCTGCCCGCGGGGCCGCCGCGGTCCATGGCAGCTTCCCGAGCCGCGCGCCCTGCAAAGGACCGAAGGCGCGGTGAGGCCGGGGCGCCGGGCGGGCTGACGCCGGGGAGGCTGACCTCGCTCCCCGGGCGCCGGCCCGGCCGTCCGACGTGGCTCGGGGCGTTCTCAGACAGGAGTCCGTTCGGACTGGGGCGCGGCTGCCTCCGGGCGTCTGGGGAGAGTTGTGGGGCCTGAGGGTTCCGGGGCTGCTCAGAGGGCTGAGCAGCGGCGCGGTGCCCGTTTTACTTTTCGCGGACAAATTAAGCGAAAGGGCTACTGTGCAGGGGAAGGAAGATTTCGGAAGCACAGCTCCGGTTCGGAACTTCTTCGCGCTTCCAGAACGTTATCCGGCCAGTCCCGCAGGGAAGACGGTGCGGGTCATTCTCACCGAGCGTGGCGGGAAGCCCTGGCCTCGCCATGGCCCGTGGTGCCCACGCCGGCCGCCCTCGCACCATTCGCTCTCGAGGCCTGGGACCCCGGGGCGACGCGGGAGCCCAGGGTGGTTTCTGTGGGAGGAGTCGGGGGCCCCTGGCCTCACCTCAGACCGAGGCACCCGCTCCCCCTCCGGGCCCGGGGACCGCGCAGCGCCGCGGGGATCAGGCCGTGCCCTCACCTCTCCTAGAGCGGCCGTGTGGGGCTCGGCTCCGCTGCGCGAGCGGGCGAGGAGCGTCGAGCCGGGTCTGCGTGGCCAGGGCCGCGCCGGTCACACCATCCTGGTCTAGCCGAAGTCGACGGCCGCTTCCAGCCCTGGCTGGGCCCGCCTTTTACGCGGCCGTCCCCACGGCCAGGCGTGATGCGGGCCAAGCTCGGTGTCCGGCACGGCAAGCAGGACAGGCCCAGGTCCGCACCCACTGGAGGGGCTGCCCCAGGCTGCGGCCTCGCGATGCCGCCCCCTCTGTCGCGGGAGAGTCATTAATCACACCGTCCGGTGGGCGGGGCCAGGGGCGGGGCGTCCTCCCAGCCCCGCCCCCGCCCTAGTCCAGTTTACCCCGGCGCGGGACTCCGAGCGCAGTACGTCGAGCGCCCGCGGGGCTGCCTGCCGCGGCGGCCCGGAGCTGGGGTTCTGGCTCTGGGACCCCCCCCAGCTTGGCCTCCCGAGTTACCTCACTTTGCTGCCGCCGTGCCGCCTCGGGCGCAGTCTGAGCTCGGTCGCCTTCATGGCAGCAGCTTGCGCCCGAGCTGAGGCGGGAACGCTGCCGTCTTGTTGAGCGTGACTTAATTTTTGTGAGGAACTGCGGAGTGTGCCGCGTCGAAGCGCTGCCCTTTTACTACCGCCAGGTAAATGTTTCCTGCTGTCCTCAGCGCTGAAAGCAGCTGCCCCTCCGCCCCGGGACTCCGGGACGAGCTGGCCTGCACCCCTTGGCTGCTCGCACCGTCTGTGCTCCTTTCGGAGGTGCCCCAAACCAGAGTGAACGGCCCTGGGACGGCGGGCGCCTCTCCCCGGCCGGGGACCCTGCCTGCCGCCTCCGCTGCCCCGCGGGGCCCCCGCTTTGTTTCATTATTTGGCTCCGTCGCCTGCGGTGGTTTGCGCTGGTGGGCCCCGGGCCGCCCCCGCCGCCGCCGGCAGAGGGCGAGTCCGGGTGCGCGCGCGAGCTTCCAGCGACGGAACCGGCTTAGCCTGGACGCAAGGCCCGCGATTCGAAGAGCGGGACGTTTTAAAATCTTCTTTGGGGTCAAGACTATATCAAATTTAGAATGTCGTTGATGAAACTGCTCTTGTGTATGCGACATAATTTCGTAGTTTACAGTAGATTTTTGAACTGGACCTACCAAGTAGCACATAGTAATGGTGGCCCTGTGTTTAAATGTCGTTCCACACCGTAGGTGTGTTAGTGAATCACAGTAATCCTCAGGCTTTCGTCTCCCTTCCCCTTCAGTAACTAAGTAGATTTACACTTGAGAAAGGAGCGCACCAAAATGCCATTGGTTCCAAAAAGGATTGCTTTCTTTTGGTGAACGAGAAAGCACATCTTCATCTTTATTTTCCCAGTAAGTTGTATGTAATGAGGATAAAGCGAGTGGAAATCAGTGTTTCAGATTCCATAAAGAAGCAAATCAAACAAGAACTTAAAAGTTTTTCTTATACGTGTCATGAGATAGCATAAAGCTAAAACCACACAAAAGATGGTGTTGCCTAGTACTATAAAGCTAAAAAATCAGACGTTTCACATCACTTAAGACTGAATTTACTCGTTTATTACAAATTTTCTTTTACTTTTGGGTTATGGAGGCGGGGAGGTTCACGTAGGTCATTTTTTGTCAACAAGCTTTCAGATTCCTTCAGAGAGAGAGTCCTGTATTAATAGAGGGAAAAAAAGCAGTAAGTTATTTCAAAAATGAAAGTTATCCAAAACAGGTAGCAAACATATAGAATCTAGGACACAATAAACAGTAGTAAAGGCTAATGATTAGTCACCAAACTGTGTGAATCTTCCCAGGTTTTAAAGGAAGCAGAAACATAAAGGTTTTCCCCCTGGGATAGGGAAGAATGTGGAAAATCCGTGAGTTGAGAGAGGTGTGGAAATAAGAATATCGAAGAGAAGGTGGGCCAGGACTAGAACGAGGCAAATTAGGTGCCTAAGGCGCCTTAAATTTTGCACCCGTGGCGTCTCACGCGCCTCACTGTAGCCTCGCCCTCTAGAGTCTGCTGTTGCTGGGGGAGGCGGGGTGGAGGTAGGGAAGCCACAGAGGCTCTTCCCTGCTAACGGGGGCCGGCCGGTGGCCAGCTGTGGTGCCCAGCAGTCAGGTTGGAAAGAAGGGACTGATGTAACAAGACCCACCACCGCCAGCCACCCCCTTGTCCTATCTGCTGCCTCTCCAAGCAGCCTCTCTGAATCCTCTGATGAATCTAGAGTAGTCCCAGTTCCTGCAAGAAACCAGTATTTGCAGTTAAATTCAAAATAGAAGAAGAAAATCTTAAGATTTTCATAATCACATAAATTATTACCTTATTTAACCCTTTATATGTGCTAAGTGCTTTATGGAAAAGCAGTGTTTCTTCTTCAGTCTTTACAAAAACCTTTTGAGCATTTTACATTTGTGAAAATAAAGATTAGAGGGATTAAGTAACTTGTCCCACGTCACACAGCTACTAAGTGGCAGAGACAGGATTCAAGCCAGGCAGATTCAGCCTAACACTTGTGCTCTTTACCATACTATTCTACGTAATATTTGTAGAGTTCCTCATAATTTGCAAAACATTTTTTGTATCTATTATCTTAATAAAGAGCTTACTTTAACTTAACTCCCTATTAACAATCCAAATAGTATTTTCATAATGTATCAGTCTTTGGAGTTCTTTTCTAGTCTTCCAGAAAGTATATGGCTTTAGAGTACTGTAGATTTTATTTTACTGAGTGCGGTGCAGGTCTTAAAATTATACTTGTCTTTTTTCTAAATATGTCAAATAATTTTTCATCTTAACTCATCTTTATTATGGAAAATGACCACACATATCAGTGAAGAAAATATTTGTTTTATATATATATATAAAAGTAGGTTTTATATAATTGGTAGGTTTTTTTCACCTTTCACCTGTTTCTTTCATTGTTTAAATTAAGGTATAATTTACATAGTTAAATTCACTTTTTTGAGTATACAGTTCGGCAAGTTTTGATAAACATATTCAGTCAGGTAACCACTACCACAATAAAGATATGCAACATTTCATCACCTCCCAAAATTCCCTTGTGCTGACCTTTTGTAGTCAACCTCTAGTCCTTGGCAACTACTGATGTTTTCTGTCTCTATAGTTTTGCCTTTGCCAGAATACCATAGAATCATCCAGTGTGCAGCCTTTAAGTCTGGCTTCTTGTGTTTAGCATAATTCTTATGGGATCCATTCATGTTTCGTGTATCACTAGTTCATTCCTTTTTATTGGTGAGTAGTATTCCATTGTATGGATGTAGTACACTTTGTTAATCCATTCCCCAGTTGAGACACCTTTGGGGCTTCCAGTTTTTGGTGATTGTGAATAAAGCACTGTAAATATTTGGGTACAGATTTTTGTGTGAGTATAGGTTTTCGTTTCTTGGGAAGATTCCTAGGACTGGGACTGCTAGAAGTGGTAAGAATATGTTTAACTTTATAAAATTAGGTCAGACTATTTTCCAAAGCGGCTGTACTATTTTTGCATTCCCACCAGTAGTGCATAAGAGTTCCAATTACTCCATATCCTTGCTAGCATTACCAGATTTTTTCTTTCTATCCATTTTAATAGATATTTTTTTAAGAAAAAGAAATTGTTCCAATGTTTTAAAATCAGGTGATTTCACAATCTAGATATCTCACTTGCCAGCTAGTCTGATTTCTCTAGTTCAGCATGTCTGCCTGGCTACACTGTTTTGGAGCTGCATAGCTGTAGTTGCTTTTAGTTGGACATGTGCTCTCCACTTCACCTCAATCACATTCTCACTTGCTTCCCTCACTTACTTTAGCTATGCCTGAAGGGGTTTTTGAGACCTCCTTGGAGAAGAGTTGAGAGCTTGACTTTGGAGTCAATGACCTGATTCAAGTCCCAGCTCTGTCTTATGGCAACCGCGTGACTTTGGGCCACTCTGACTGGGCCTCTCCAATGCTCATTTTCCTCATCCATAAAATGGATCTGATAGTGTTCTTATCTCAAAGGGTTCTACTGTTTTTTAAAAATTTGTTTGGTTGGGGTTGGCCTCATGACCTACTGGTTAAGTTTGGTCTGCTCTGCTTCAGAGGCCTGGGTTTGGTTCTGGGGTGCAGACCTACACTACGTGTTGGCAACCCACAGACAAAACAGAGGAAGACTGGCACAGATGTTAGCTCAGGGTGAATCTTCCTCAAGCAAACAACAAAAAGGGGAAGACTGGCAACAGATTTAGCTCAGGGCAAATCTTCCTCAGCAAAAAAAAGCTGAAAAAAATTTGGGTAATGAAGATTCAACTTTCAAAGTAGACTTTTTTCTCGTGAGGAAGATTAGCCCTGAGCTAAAGTCTGTGCCAGTCTTCCTCCACTTTATATGTGGGTCACTGCCACAGCATGGCTGACAAGTGGTGTAGGTTTGCACCTGGGATCCGAACCCATGAACCCAGGCTGCCGAAGCAGAGTGTGCCGAACTTAACCACTACACCACAGGGCCAGCCCCAAAAGTAGACATTTTAAAATGGAAAATACCTAATATAATTCTTTTAAATTAGATCTTACATAACTCTTGTTCACAGAGTAAGCCATTAATAGTTGAGACTAGAGGTCACAAAAGCTAGCTTAGACTGTTCTAAAAACATGTTATGTTGCTTACAACTATTACTTGGTTTTGAAGGGAGGGTATCCTAATTTCACAAGGGTTCTTTGGGAACTGCAAATAAAAATGTTAGTATTATACCTACATTACTGATACATATAAGTTTATTTTGCATATAAAATTAATTAGAGGTTAGGTTTAACAAAGCAAAATTAAAGGCATTTAGAGCTATGCAAATGAGTTAATATAAGATCATCCCAGAGTTTTGTGTTTGTTTTTGTTTTGAGGAAGATTAGCTCTGAGCTAACATCTGCTGCCAATCCTCCTCTTTTTTGCTGAGGAAGATTGGCCGTGAGCTAACATCTGCGCCCATCTTCCTCTACTTTATATGTGGGACGCCTGCCACAGCATGGCTTTGATAAGCGGTGCGTAGGTCTGTGCTCAGGATCCGAACCAGCAAACCCTGTACCACCAAAGTGGAACACGCTAACTTAACTGCTACGCCACCAGGCCAACCTCCATCCCTGACTTTTGTGACTAAAAGTGTTATCTAAGTTTTAAAAATTCTTCTTGAAGCACATAGGAAATCTGTTGTTGTTACAACTGTTCAAACATAACCTTAACAGTGGTGACAGCAAGTTATTTTTACTGTTATTAACTTTCACTTTTTATCTCAAAGAAATCTAATGCTTCCATATTCTAACTAAAGATAGTAGGTATTTTATAAATAAATAACATACAGTGAACATTTCCTGTGAATTTTAGGTTCCAGAGATTCATATTCCTCAATTATCTGAAACTAAGGGCATTCTAACCCAGCTAGAAGTTATTTTGACATTAACAAAAGAGATGGATTGATTCTATTGACAGTGCTTACGCTTGAAAGATAGTTAAATAATCAAGTAACAATTTCCTTTTTTCATTGTACAGTGTTGTACAGTATTCTCTGTGGATCTTATTTACAATATATAAATGCATTTAATGTCTTTTAAAATTACTAAAGCTCAAGCACCTCCTAGCATGTTTGAAAAGAGAGGAAACATCTGTCAGAAGTATTTACTGTGACAAACACAGAAAGAAGCAATAGTGTGTACATTTTCCTGTTTAATACCATATTGTTTTTAATTGAACAGTGAAGGCATTTGTTCAGAATCAGCCTTTAAATAAAAAATAGTTTCAAACTAATCTTTAATTAAAGTGTACATTGATAGTATCAGGTTCAGTTTGAGGGTCAAAAACAACGTCAATGAGTCTGACTTTTTCCTCCCTGTAGGGAAGGGCAGGCTTGTGTAAATATACATGAGTACAGACTGCATGCTTTTATAAAGGAGGTGGAAAATGTTCCCCTGTCATTGGACAGATGTTGCTTCACTGTGTTCCACATAGGATACAGGCACAGCTCCCAACGTGCAGAACCTTAAAGGAGTGTGGGGCACATACTTTTAGCATTTTAGAAGAAGCCCTCTAAGCTCCTTTCCACCTCTGAGCAGGTTCCCCACCTCGCATATTAAATGTAGACTACAGGGGACTGGTCTGCTGATGCCAGCTCATTCTTCCCCTTGAAGTAAGGGAAGGAGTTGCTTTAATCAGACATTTAGAAACCAAGAATCTGTTCTTTGTGTTTGGGCTGGATATTTTGTTTTTAATTCTTTACTGACTTTCTAGCTTTATTCTCATTATCTCTTAGCTTTATGCTAAATTAGTAAAATGTTAGAAGTGGGCACACCCTAAAAATCTACATCAAGAGCTTAATGAAATTCCATAATATATGTGGTCATCTTTTATTAAAGAGAGGTGGAACTGATATCCCCATTTAAGAAGACAAATCTTTTGCAATACCAAGGTGATATTTTGGCATGCCCTCTGTAAAAATGTTACCTGAGGAAATAAAAAACATTTAAAACAAAATATTTATGTAATTTTTCACATTATAAAACTGAAGACTCAAGATTAAACATAATCAACTTCACTGACAGTGGCAAAAGCAGGACATTCTGTATATTCTTCTCACAGGAACCCCTCTATTCTGCTGGCTTCTTTTGAGGTAGCCTGTCTTTGCAGTATGTAGTAATTAAAAATGT